GCTCAGCCTCCGTGCGGCACGGACCGGCGGGGTCTGGGGGTTCCTGCCTGCACCACGGGGCAGTGCCGCCCGGGGCTGCTCCAAAGTGGTTTTAAGTTCCTGTTGGAGGAGGGCAGCGCTGGGGCTGGGACACAGACTTTTACAAATTTATCTCCACCGTCTGCATGAGCTGGAGACGCGGCACGGCTCAGAGCGGGCTGCTCCTGCACCGGCTGGCCCCAGAGCAAAGCTCCAGCCAAGCTCCCTGTGGCACAGACACAACCCTCCCACCCCTAACTAAATCCATCAGCCATTTGCTCTTCTTACCTTGGCTTTGCCAGCGGGGCAGGGCCTGACACAGGCGCCGTGTTGACGTAGTCGGGCTCCTCATCCAGGCTGTCGGGCTGCAGAGCTGCGGGCGAGGATGGGAAGCACCAGCCGGTGAGCGGGTTGAGCTAAAAACACCAACACGCCACAGAGGCACCGTGTGTCCTGCCAACACTGAGCCTTCGGTGCTGAGAAACCTCGGGTGACAGTGTCAAGGTCTCCTTGAAGGGGCTTCAAAACAGTCCCAGCAAATTTGCAAACGCTCTGAGCAGCGAGTGTGGCTGGCTCTTCAGAGCCCAAAGAGCCGGACTTAGATTTAATCTAGAGAGCACGCTAACAGTTTGTTTCGGCAGCTTCCACGCCAGAGACAGAGAGCTCTTCGATCTCTATGTGCGCACTCACCGCTGTCTCCCAGGCCAGACTACCCCTACGCTTCCCAGGAAGGCACACGCTAGATTAAAGCATGGTTTAAAGGTTAGCTTAACAAGCACGCACCCCCGACCAGAAGAAATGTGCACCCCTGAGGACAGCGGGCTGACCCGCGGGGTGCACGCTGCACGGCTCTGTGTCTGGGGGATGACAGGGCTGAGCTGGCACCAGGGCAGCTTCAAAACCTAAGAGGATATCAGACATGAAGGGTGACGTTCTTCTGTGGCATCCCATGGTCAGGGTTTAGGGACAGCCACCTGCACGGTGGCCTTTCAGGTGCTGGAGGCACCGTGTCCCATCACAGCCGCACTCAATTACAAGTGCGTGCAGCAATTTGCACGCTGCCTTAGGTGTTGGTCATGGATGATCGGGGAAAAAATAACTCAAGATGAGAGGAGACGTCTGCATTGCCCTGAGCGTGGTCTGTGCCGGTCTAGCGTGATGGAACCCATGAGCCCCTTCCCTAAATAGAAACCAATTGCTGAGAACGTACCTTCTGCTTGCTGGAGTTTCCAGAAGTGTATGGCCGCGCTGTTCTCGTAGTCTAGAGCATCATCTGTGACAAGAGCAGTTTGGACAGGATGATGCTGACCAGCACGTGAACTAAAAATGGACGTTTGTGAAACCCCCTCCTCCCGCTGCACCCGCCCGCCCCGTGCACGTGGCCGAGTTTCCAGCCGGGCGCCCGCCGTCCTGCCCAGAACTGCTGACGCTGCCTCATCGCTTCTCCAGCCCTGACCATGTGCCCAGCTATCCGCAGGCACAGATGGGGATCAGACTTGTCCCCGTGCTCCTGCCTCCTCTAATCGCTCCGTGCAAAGCCGGGCAGGCGCAGGGCAGGCTTTAGCAGTACAGAAAGCGTTGTGTTAATTCGCTGGAGGAAACCAAACCAATTTCCTATTTTGGTTGCAACATCCCAGGGCAGAGGCTGGAAGCCCTTAAGCAGACGTTGGGGTCCAACATCCTCCTCCAGCGGCTCACTGGTTGCAGCCTTCTTGGGCTGGGCGCGGTGGGAAGCCTGAGCTGGGGCTATAACCACGGTCCATCTCAGCTGTAACAAGGCTAAAGACCTAGAGAAGCAACGCAGAGCCCAAAGCTCCTGAACTGCTGCAGAAACCTCCGAGTCAAAGGGTTCAGCTCAGAGGTGAGCTCTCGGCCGGTATGGCATCACCACAGGAATTTTCCTGGGAAATGCTCCAGGTCTGCCCTGCACCCACAGCAGCCCCTGCACCCTGGCTCTGCCAGCACGGAGCCGATAGAAGAGCTGAGCCCGCGAGCGAGGAGGGTTTCCCTCGGCCGAGCAGGTCACCGTCCCTCTCCATGCTTCCAGATACCTTTGTGCCACACGCAGGGACCACAACAGCCACACACGTACCCGTGTCGGAGCCATGGGACACCCCATTGATGACGTTCTGGTAGGAATGGGAATCCTCCTCTTTCTCTGGTGGAGAGAAGAAAGGTGACAAAGGGCTTCAGGAAGTGCAGGTGACCTGGGGAGGTCCCTTAGTGCCTGCAGGAGGGGGCTGCTCCCCACCACCAGGCACACATTAGCTAAAAAACCACCGACAGTCCTGCTCTGAGCCAGGGATGGGGCATCCCCAGTGCAGTGGGAGCAGGCGATCGCTGTCCCACGGGAGCACCGGCACCAAGTAATACGGGATACAAAACCATTCATGTCAGCACATTCAGGTTTCTCTCTCTCTCTTCTCCCCCCCTCCTTTTTTTAAAAATAAGGTATTTTTTTTTTCTTTGTAAACAAGATTTTTCTCTTTTTTAAAAAAATCTTTTGGTTTTCTCCCTCTAGTCTGTTTAAATAAAAAATGGGATTCTTGTTTTGACATTCATTTTAGACAAAAATCGATTGATGTCTGAGCCAGCACAGAGAAGTGCCAAGCACCCAGGGAGGTGAAATCATTTTGCAGATGGAATACACGCCGTGAAAAGGTGAGTTCGAAGGGAGTGGTGGATTTCATCCCACCTTCATTTGCTTGCCTATAAACCAAGCACACTAAATATTTGAAGGTGTCCCTTTGGCAGAAGCTTTGAGATGAGGACAAGCCCTTTCCCACACACCGGGGCAGGACCCCGAGGGGCCGCAGCCCCCTCACCCAGACCAGCCCGGGCTGTGAGCAAACGGTTGCATTACCGTGAACACTCCTGCCGCGATGGGCAATTTGCTGCTGCCCGCAGATGAAACAGAGCAAGAACCAAGTGTTTGGTGCCATCAAAGCCAACAGATGGACTGATCCACGGTTGGGCATCCCTCATGCCCCACGGCTCCCTAATGACCGTGTCTCCTGGCCCCACACTTGCTTCGGGCCACATGGCAACAATGCACGGACTGGGGCAAGGAAAGTCTCGGCGGCTCCCCAGAGCCGTGGACAGCCGGGCTGGCGCTGGAGATGAAACCTCTCTTCCTCCTGGGGAGACCTTACCGATGGGTGGCGTGAAGAAGCGGGCGCAGTTGTAGTAATCCAGAGAGATGGGCTCCCTGCGGGAAGAAGAGCCACCGTTAGCTCCTCCTGCCCAGACAGCCCCAGGGTGTCCCAGTTGGGGCTACGGGAGAGCCAGGCACACTGGACCAGCACAGCTCTGGCTGACCGCACCGGTGGCAGTGACCAGCTACTTACACGTAGGCAGCATCTCCTCGCAGGTAGTCCTCTGCAAGCACAAAGGGTTTGCCATCAGTGCACCCCACATCGCACAAACTCAACCCGCCGTCCCGAAGCGTGGCCAGGCAGATCCCCCCGTGCAGCTGGATCCAGGCCAGGCTGGATGAGGCTTTGAGCAACCTGGGCTAGTGGGAGGTGTCCCTGCCCATGGCAGGGGGTGGCACTGGGTGATCTTTAAGATCCCTTCCAACCCCAACCATTTCACGGTTCTCTTTTCCCAGCAGCCTGAAAGCCCTGGCACGGCCCTGAAGCCCATCCACGAGCAGGGCTGGAGGAGGGGGAGGCAGCCCCTGGGAAAACCAGGGCTCCCCACTCCTGACAGACAGACCCGCCAGCTGGCACGGGGATGGGGAATATCCCCCCCGGTTCAGGAGAGGAGAGCACAGCCCCACATGCCAGTAATCCTCTCAGGGCAAAGCGCCAGCTCCCGCTGTCCCAGGAGGGAGCTGGGAGCTCATGAGCATCCCGTCCCCCCCAGCTCCAGCTGTTAATCAGCTCAGTGCATGTCCTACAGAGCAATAGCTGAATGAACTCAGGCGGCCGTGCCAGCTCCGCGCCAGCGCTCCTCCCCCCTGACCTCCCATCACCCTGGCAGCCTTCCCTCCCCACGCACGTGGCCGCAGCACTTACCTGTCAGGAAATTCCGATATCTGGACTCGGTCCTGCTCCCTGAGGAAAAACGGAGGGGCACGTTAGGCTCAGGCTCAGGCTCAGCAATGGGAGCGGTTCGGTGATGGAGGCACCGAGTGTTGCGGCGTCTGCAGCTCTGCCCCGCTAAGCTCTGTGCTGGGGGCCGTGGACACGGCTGCGAGGTTGGACCTGAGGGCAGAGGTGGTGGGATAGGCAGGGGTGATAATTTAAATAATCTGCCCCATCCCTGGAGGGGTTCAAGGCCAGGCTGGATGAGGCTTTGAGCAACCTGGGCTAGTGGGAGGTGTCCCTGCCCATGGCAGGGGGTGGGACTGGATGGGCTTTAAGGGCCCTTCGGGCCCAAACCATTCTGTGATACTATGCCTGGTAAGCTGTACCAGGATGAGTTGGATTTTAAACCCAGACCCACACTAGTTCTCATTAAGCGTCTCTGTGCAGACCCGCCACAAGCGCCGTGGGTAGGTGCCGATCCCAGAAGCGAATTTGATCATCGCCCAGCTTGTTTCCAGGATAACCCACCCCACGCCCTGCCCGGGGTCCAGCAGTGAGGAACCAGCCTGTCGGGTGCTCGGTCTTCCCAAAACCAGTGGGAGCTCCCAGCTGGCACCTACACAACCGAGCCGACATTTACAACACCCACGTTTATGGATTTTGCAGCTGCATGGATGGAGAGAGCACTGAACCGGTGCCCGTCCCAGGGAGATGCTCACCGTATCCAGCACGGCAGGAGGCACTGAACTCCTCGGTGGTTTTCCTGAAAGAGAGAAAAGGCAGCTGAAACTCCAGGTCTGAGCAAAGCTTTCCAGGGGTGACAAACCCCAGCAGTGACCCAGCCAGAAGGAGCATCTGTGGAACCTCCCTGTGGGGTTATAATGGGAGACACGTCGAGCAACGGGAGGTGAAGAGTCTGGGGTCAGATCCCATGATGGGAATAACTACACTGGGATATGGCAGCAGAGTTATTGTGGCCGCGTAGTTCTTGGGGATTTTGGTGATGGGGAGAAGGGGATTTCTTGTGTCAAATTGCTTATAAGCAAAGAGTGGTGGTTTCTTTTCCATGACATACCTATTATGTACAGCCACAGCTATTTCCTTGGCTTCCATTGAAATGGTTGCCAGCAGCACGCAGTCAGACTGAAGAAAATCCGGAAGCAGCCTAAACCCACTATTGACCATCAATAAAGTACGTATAGCCCCTCTGTGGGGTTCAGAACCCAACCCCAAATCCTGAACATTAGCCTATGTTGGGTGAATTTCATCCGACCTCGGCTCTAGGTTTGGGTTGGGTTTTTTACCTTGCTATTGATAAGTTTTCAGGTTCCTTAATTTGTTCCAGTCTTCGGCTTGCACCTAGCGCTAAGAACAAAATGAGATGTTAATTATTATAGCAAATATTTCAACGAGCGCAGAACATCCAGCAGACCGGATTCCCCAGCACTGGCAGGTGTTTTTCTAACGCATCCCAAACCAGCTGCCAAGTCATTCCTTGAAAGCACATAATGGGCCAAAATGGGAAACAAACGGAAAAAAACCTGGTGTCTGACCGCACCACTGGTCAACATGCATCACAGCAATGTACAGTCCCAGCTGCTGCCTTATTGCCTGCTCTCCCCAAACCCACGCCATCTGGGGCCTTTCCCACGCTCAGCACCATCAGCTCTGGTCGGGGTGGGCTGAAGCCAAGACTCGTGAGGGGTTTGTGGGGCTTGGACCCGGGGAAGGAGCGGCCCCGCAGAGCCCGTCTGCTGACGGCGACATTTCACGCAGACCCCGCCAGCGGCTTGTCTCAGGATCGGAATCAAAAGGTCAGCACCTAACCCCATGTGCCACAGGAAGCAGCGAGAGGGCGATGATAACTGAGTCACCACGATCGATTCGCGCTCACCCACACCGTCGTTTTCACAGGTCGGTTTGAAGAGCCCCAGTTACCAGGGCGCTGGTTCCAAACACGTCCCTTTAGTGATTTTTTTTCAATGCGAAGGGAGATTTTTTTCCTAGAGCTCAGAATTCGCATCCCTAGAAGCATCTAAGGTGGCTTTGACAATCTTGGTCTCGTATAATTTCCCCGCCTGGCTTCCAGGTGACCCTTTTATCGTTACCCCCCCATTCTGTGCGTGCAGGACCCCCACCCCACAAGGCAGGAGCCCCGCGCAACGGTCGTACTCACTGGAATGGGAGCGAATCACCTCAAACCCCTGCTGGCTTTCGAACCTGCAAAAAATAGAGGCACAACCTCAGCTGAATTTTGGGGTCTAGGAAAAGGAAAATAGATGCAAGAGCCCTCCCCTGTTTGGTGCATGGAGGGAAGAGAGTACAGCCTCTGTGCTGGGCTGGCGAAACGCCGACGGACATCGCTCAGGGGGTCGGGCAGGACCCACGTGAGCCATGGACCAACACCAGCTAAGGGAAGGACCCAGGAGGAGGAAAACATCCTTCAGGATAATTCCTACTGACACTTTATGCACCAGTTAAAGCCAGAAGAGCACTTTCACCCACAAAAAAGTGGGTGTTCACCCACAATATGGCTTCAAATGCCACTGCTGCCCCTCTGCTGTGCCCCCCACCCCTCCCAAGGGCCCTTAACATCAACCTGAAAAAAATAACACATGTGCCCAACAGCCTCTTTACTTTTTGGGTAACAGCGGGGCTGCTCTTCAGAGCACAGCAGGATTCAACAGCTCTTCTACTGCAGGTGCGTGCAGGCACTTGGCAACTCTGAGACCCCAAAAGTGTCCCTTCATTCGGGTCACCCCCTGCCCCAGCCACTGTTCATGGCCCAAGGCTCCTGAGGATGTGAGGAATCATAGAATCACAAGATGGTTTGGGTTGGAAGGGACCTTAAAGCCCATCCAGTGCCACCCCCTGCCATGGGCAGGGACACCTCCCACCAGCCCAGGTTGCCCAAAGCCTCATCCAGCCTGGCCTTGAACCCCTCCAGGGATGGGGCATCCACAGCTTCTCTGGGCAACCTGGGCCACTGCCTCACCACCCACACAGGAAAACATTTCTCCCTAGTGAAGAATTTCTTCCTAGGACGTCATTGCAAAGCCTGCAGACATATCCAGTTAAATCACTTTGCTCACAAAAAGGCCAAACGAACCCAAACCAGACCCCTAAAAAAGAGCACCCAACTCCACGAGCCTCAAGTCAAACCACCTCATCCAGGTATAAACTTCAAGAAGCCGGGACAATTCGGTACAAACCCACGGGGGACGGAGTCTGCGCCGGCTTTTCCATCCGTCTGCGATGGACCACACCAGAGCCCTGCCCCGGTCTGGGCAAGTGGGGCAGAAGGAAACCGCTAACCCCACGGAGGCCTTTGCAGAGCCCTTTGCACCACATTTGCTCTTATAACAAAGGTTACAAGCCAGCTTTTTTTTTTTTTTTTTTTCTGTCATCAAGCTGTGGTTTGTCTGTTGCTGAAGGAAATAAGGGGCGTGCGTGTGTACAATCGCATTTCCTTCACCGCCGGTGCTGCCGGTCGGTGGTTGCCCTGGCCCAGGGTCCCACCAGCACAGCCGAGGTCAGGGCTTGTCATGAAGTTCCCACCTCTCCACCTCATCTCAGTGGGCAACAGGACAAGGACTCGCCCTTCCAATTCTCCCAGACCTTCTTCCAACTCATTAATGACCCACCGGCGTTGCAGTCAGAGCTTTGGTTTCATTGTGGATTAGTCTTTATACAGGCGTCACCCCGGGCTGGGGCGCGCTCCCCTGCGTGTGGCATTCGGGGATTGTTTTGTTTTATCTAAACGCAGATGGTGGGGCACAGAGAGGGTCCGGCCCTGGCCAGGGTCTCACCCTGGGTGAGGTGTGTGGGGGAGAAACGCGACTGTGAAAGGAGACTTACTGGCTGCTCCGCTCGCTCGGCTGCTTCGCTCGCTTGGTCGCTGGAAGAAAAGGCAAAAAAAAAAAAAAAGCTCTTAGAAAAGGATGATTTGGGAGTTAAAGACCTGAAAGACCAATAAAACAATAAAACACATTCTCAAAACTTCTCCAGCCGGGAGCACGAGAGGACAGAGGATGCAGCGAGCAGCACCGGTGGTTTGGATTTTTTTTTTTTTTAAACCGTGTCTAAAGCACAGTATTTATACCAGACACTGCAAATCCAGCCACTCCTGTCCCCAGAGCCCCAGCTGCAGCCGTGCTCCCCCAGTAAAGCCCACCCAGCGCTCAGAGGTGGTTGAACCCCTGGGGGGGTGGGTGCTCACCCCACTCTCTATATTTAACATAAATACGAATTTATCCCCCAGCCTCTTCTGTGCCTGCCCCAGAGCCCCCCAGGATTTGTACACTTGACCAGTGTGGGGTGCCCCAAAGCCCCCCCGGTACTCATGGAAAAAGCTCTGCAGCCCCCAGCATCACCCCCACCGAAGGGGTGCTGCGGGGCTGGGGGGTCCTTCCCCCCACCTGCGCCTTGGCCACCCGCAGAGACCCTCCCCAGCAAAGCTGCTGGGAGCATCCCCACCATGGCAAAGCTCCTGGAGCCTGAGCAGGACCCAACCCGGAGGGGACACCCCAAGAGGAAAGGGTCTGCCTGGTGTGACCCCCCAGCCCAGCCGGGGGCTGTGGGCAGGACCCCAGGAGCACACGGGCAGGACCTTACCGGAGAGCTGGCACTTGACGCAGAGGCTGACGATGGCCCCCAGCAGCATCAGCGCGGCGGCCGCCCACAGCAGCTCCAGCTGAGCCATGGCCCACCCGCGTCCAGACTGAAACACAGCGAGGGGGACCCCCGTGAGCAGGGACGGGACCCCCGTCAGTGGGGAGGGACCCCTGTGAGCTCTGGGGGCACGCGGGGCTGCATGGTGGCCGCTCCAAAAGCTTTGACCCCCCCCCTAAGAGCTGGGCGTTCGCTGG